AAAATAAGCTCATTTCCCGTTCTACAAGGCCATTTCTGAAATATCTCAAATAACTAGCCAAGGTCAGACAGCAGGTATTAAAACAGATGTTTGGCGATTTGAATTTGTACGTTCAGGATCAAACGGGTGAAATCGAAACTTCTTCGGCTCGATACGTTTGCGTTTTGTACGTACGTAAAGGTACGCAGCGATATGGATCACGTATCCGTAAACGCAAGTGAATTTCTCACTGCGCGAGCGTACATGTCAAACGATACGTTTACGTCTACGTCTTTGACTGTACTTTAACTGTCTAAAATAACAGAACCAAAAACTGAAATGGGCTATTGACACCTTTCATCCTTATAAAACAGCAGGTGTAGATGGGATTTTTCCTGTCCTTCTAAAGAACGGTCAGAAAATAGCTATACACCATCTATTAAACATTACAAGAAGCAGCCTAGCGATGGAATATACCCCAGGCTGAGCGTGCATTAGAAGTTTCTAGAGAACCACAACATCTAGATCGGATATTTTTGCACATCCTTGTTTTACAACTAGATCTATCGATTAAAAATATTTTCAATATGGCGGCACTTCCGGAAATACCGGAAGTTGACAGCAACTTTCTTATTTTAAATGGGTGCCCCCATTTTTTATTACATATTTAAATTCTCTGTAAAATTCTATGAATATTGATGTTAAACACTCTATATCTAACATTAACCGTTTTTGAGAAAAAAAAATATTTAAATTTTTTGGATGAACAAACTACCTGCCAAAAAAAATTGTATAGCCTAAAAGTTAAATTTAGTCATTACCACAGCCACTGTGACATAAAGAGAAGACATGTGGCTATCTATTTCAAAAAATAAATTGTTCAAATGTAAAATCGTAATTTTTGGGGCTTACTCAACCGGGTCTCACAATGCAAATTCACCTCAAATATCCATTTAGTTGGTCATTGGCAAGCACTCTCTCATTGTACATGAAAATAACAAAACAAACATTTACTGATCTAGATAAAATTGATAGTTAAATAGTAAGACTCACCCGGGGGTACTCCGCCCCCTAGCCACTGACATCACTGACATTCTATTCAATATATCCCATTCCATATCTTCCATCTAATTCAAATATTATTCGGATCTATTGGTTAATAAACTTCAACAACTAGCTAGTGTCACCTGAAGTAGTATAGGGGCTTCCCCCGGACGCAAACCTGCCGCTAAACAGATTCGCATCCCAAACGATAAGGCTAATTGGGGTCCTCACGTAACGCCCCACCGTCTCAATCGAGAAGCAAGAGAGACCTCAAACTCTCAAGACCATCCTCGAAGGAACGACGTCACAAGAGGTTTTCTACTTCCATAGTTAAAAGACTCGCTACTTCCAAATGTCAGCTCTGTGACAAAACACAACACTACACAGCCGGTCTATTAACAACTCACTGACCTGCCGCCTGCCGAGCTAAGCCTCCTCTTACATCACAATTTTACCTGATCACAAATATTTACATCGCTTGCCAATGAATCATACTGTTTTCTCTAATCGACTTTCAAATAGAGTGTTTTAGCATTACCAAATAAATAGAGTTTCCGAAGGAATGCATATTGTTTATTAGAATAGTGAATAATAAAAGCATTATTATGACGAACTTATTTTCCAAGTTTTACACAAATGTCATATAATAATGGCGGTGGTTGTCATGGAATTGAGTGATTAAAAAATTATCATAAATTATGTTTTTCAAATGGAAACCCACCTTTTTTATTTCATTAATGAAACGGTTTTTCAATTCGTTAGTTTTTAACTAAACACGTTCCTATACCTAAAATAAATCGTTTTTAAGTTATTTAAGACTGAGTTTGAAAACCTATATTTTTCTTGATTTTATCTAGCTTCCTTTGACAATAAGTGTCAAACGGTCAGACAATTTATTTCCATCTGCCAGAAAACGAATTATTTCAATTTCCTACAGTATAAATACTGCCCCCCCCCCTTAAGGGTTTAAAAAGTGTATTTATAAAAATATATCTCGTATTTTCAGTCTTTAGTGATATCTAATAGTTGATATTATTAATAATCGAAAAAAAAACAGCGCAAAGTTGGCTCGAAATTGATGCTGCGTTTTGAACAAAGCGTCACAATATGACATGGCCAGATCTATTGTTTTACCCCACCTTTTTCTCACGACGTTTAAAGTCATAGGCTACTGGTTAAAATCAAGAAAAATATATCCTTTAAAAATAAATCTTAAATAACTGAAAAACGATTTATTTTAGGTATAGGAACATGTATAGTTAAAAAGTAACGAATTATCATTTGAAAAAAATAATTTATGATACTTTTTTAATCGCTCAATTCTATGACAGTTGCGGCCATTATTATATGACATTCGAACAATTTAATTTTTGAAATAGATAGCCACATGTTTTTTCTTTATGTCACAGTGGCTGTGGTAATCACTAAACTTGACCTTTAGGCTATACACATATTTTTGACAGGCAGTTTTTTTCGTTCAAAAAATTTAAATATTTTTTGTCTCAAAAACGGTTAATGTTAGAGAGTGTTTAATATCAAAATTTATAAAATTTTACATAGAATTTAAGTACATAATAAAAAATGGGGGCACCCATTTAAAATAAGAAAGTTGCTGTCAACTTCCGGTATTTCCGGAAGTGCCACCATATTAAAAATATTTTTAATGATAGATCTCGTTGTGAAACTATGATGTGCAAAAAATCTCCGAGCTAGAAGTTGTAGTTCTCTAGAAACTATTCTCAGAACAGCGACTGTCGCCAGCGACACGTCAAGAGGACCAATGAGATTTGTACAAAATTCAAACAGCTGTCAATTTTAAATTTAGTACAGCTCCCATTGGTTGTTTGAAATGTCAAACTGTGTCGCCCGCGACACGACGTTGTTCTGAGAAGCCCCGTTCTCAGAACAGCGACTGTCGCCAGCGACACGTCAAGAGGACCAATGAGATTTGTACAAAATTCAAACAGCTGTCAATTTTAAATTTAGTACAGCTCCCATTGGTTGTTTGAAATGTCAAACTGTGTCGCCCGCGACACGACGTTGTTCTGAGAACGGGGCTTAATGCACGCTCAGCCTGGGACACCCTGTCTACCAACCTACACATATTTTAACATTTTTTATTATGCATAACTGCCAGAAACTAGTAGTGGGAACTATCGAATGAATACTATCGAAACATTCGATAGTTGCAATTCATTCCAATAATTCGATAGTTAGTAAGAAAACATTCGTTGAAAATTATTCGAATAAAAATTATCGAATAGATCCGTCATCTGCCTTGAAATATTGTATTCTAGTAATTCGGCAGCAAAAACCATTCATTTATAAAATTCATTCATTTATGAAATTCATTCATTCGTCAGGATCGATTATAATAAAATATTAACTGAATTTTAGTTGTCGCCCGGCGACGTAGGTTTCTTTCCGAGAAACCCGACAGCGGTCTGTGGCAATGCTATGAAAGAAGCCGGCATCTTTGATTTTTTGCGGAGTCAGATATAGATAAGGACACATTATTTTTTTTATTGAGGTGCTAGTATTTACACAGAAAATACATTATGAAAGGCGCTGTTGCCATATTTTGGTATTAGTTGATATTAGCAAAGAATATTATTGTTTGGCTTTAGTTAATTAGGGAATATAAAGACATACTATCTATTCTGCATTTTTTTTATTAATATTCTGTTGTTACACTGCAATAATACTTGTTATTTTGGATGTAGGAAAATTATTTTTAATGTTTTTTAGCAAAGACTGGTTTAATAAATAATAATAACAATAATAATTTGTTATACCTATTAACAACAAAATTTAAAATCATTTAATATAAATATTTTCTTTTAAGTAGTAGCAAAATATAAACAACAAATTAGATGTCAAAATTATTTATATTAGATCCTATTTAAAAATAATATAGTCTCTAAATTTTTTGGCAACGGTGGTTTATTAAATAATAATAATTACAGAACTAATTTGTTATATTAACAACAAATTTTAAAATCATGAAATATAAACATTTATTAATTTTCTAAGCATGCAGTGTAATGTAAGGAAAATATAAATAAAAAATTAGAAATCAAAATTATTTATATTAGGTGCTTTATATTACTATTTAAAAATTATATTTACTTTTACTGGCATTTACTTTAAAAAATAAATGAAATATTTTTTCTTCGCAAAAAACTACATGTAAAAGAATTAGCATAAACAAAATACAAACATCGTTAACTTTTTTTTAAATTGGCACGTGTAAAACTTTCATTTTAATTTTCTCACCCCATAGTTTGAGTTCGATAACCATTTACTTAAATATGATTATACAACCACATTACTTAAATATTATTAAGTTCAACTAATTCATATTATTAAAACATCTAAAATACAAATATGTATTTTTAAAATTAATTGTAAGTTCATCTCATCTCTCTTAAAAATTGCTACTTCTCAAAATTTCCCATTAAAAAACAGACCATATACCATATAAAATTAAATAATTGAAAGATCGGACTACGGAAAACCACACAAATTTTCGGAAAAATTTTGACCACCTGCAGATGCACACAATCGTCAATAAATAAAATTAAAAGATAACTACTATTTTAGTATTTTAACTATTTTACTAAACGCAAAAATAGCACAGTATTTATATGGCGAAGTTATAAAAATTTGGAAAAACTAATAATGCACTGACGCATACAAAATCAAACGAATACTAAATTTCATTTATCAAAAGCATTCGATAGTCGTGGCTCAACGATAACCATTTAGTCGCACGGCGCGGTTGTCACATATGCTTTAGTATACAAATGAATGAATGATTTTATTCGAATAAAACCATTCGATAGTTGAAATCATTCATTCATTAACCATTCGATAGTCTAATTCATTCGATAGTTCCCATCGCTACCAGAAACCTTCATATTGTATTCATTCTTCAGTTCTTCAATCGACGAAATTTGACTGTAAAATCCTTCATATTGAAAGAAATCCTTCAATTCTGGCAATACTGGTTGTAGCTACAGTCATAACGTTTATAAAACCATTAAATTATAAATAAATAAGTTAATACTATAAGCTATGAATTAATATTTCTTAATGTAAAAGTATCAAATCAAATAACTATCTTCATATTCCTCTTTGAATGTTAAAATATCATTCAAACATTCCTCATATTCATCTCTCTCAATTGTAAACTGATGGAACCTGGCAATTTTCAATTTCCTAGCTTCACTATGTAATGATTCGAGCATTTCACCTAATTCTGTTCCAGAATGCAATCCAGCAAGAACAGGAACAGATTCAATTACTAAAAAATAAAACATGTATAATTAAATAGTTATTATTAAAACAAATACTTGTGTTATCAGATCTTGGATTCATATTAACATTTCCATCAGACCCAATTATTTTATCAAAAATATCTGGATATGGTGGTTTGACAGTCAAGGGTTTTTCTACTGCAGTTACATGACTGGCAGTGGCATAAGTAGTACAAGCTAAATAATATTCCAGCATTTCTTTAACTGAATTATATTTATAAGCTGGCATATCTTTTTGTTTTCCAGCAAAGTTATATGGTTTCTTAATTTTTGATTCTGATATTCCTGAAATTGTTAAATGCTGCATAACTCGATTTGTACCTAAAAATATAAAATTAAAAGCTTCATAATAAAGATAATATAAAACTACATTGCTTTACCTATGGTACATCTGGGCGTTAAACTTTGATACAATGGGCCTTCCCATTGATCTAAACAATCAATTAAATAAGCATCACAATTGAAAGAGAAAGGCAAGCATATGCTTGTGGCCACAGCTTTTCTACCATTTGCTGTTAGATCTGCATACAAATCCATTGTAGAAAATGTATTGGATTTTAATCTGTATTTCAATGTTATTGTCTCCAGTGCTGAGGCTAATATTGCACTTGAATGATAAGGTAATTTAAACTTAAAAGAAATCATTTTTAATTTATCAAAATATAAAAATTAAAATTACATTATAATTGACATGGTAAAATTGTCTAGATTCTCCAGGCTGTCTCCAACCATCTTTGCTCGTACATAATGGCGAAAACATGTTCGAGTGTTGTTTAAAATTATTAAAAGATAAAAGCAAGTTTATCACACGTGTTGAATCACTCATTATTGAGGTAACTTGTTCTCTGTCAGTCTTATATTCATTATCAGGAAAGAAAGATGGTATTGTAGGGAAAACCAGAACAGATTTTCTATCATATTCATCTCGAATATCTTCAAGACAGGAAGATGACAATCCAGCAAAGCCATTAGTACAATCTGTAAGTACATGAAAACCCTGTAAGAAATTTTAAATTCTGTTAAAAGAATGTAAATCAAGAATTTAAGATTTAAACTCACTTGAAAATGGTCACATTCTTCAGTATAGTTCCTAATTTTATCTACAAAATCTTCTTGAAAAAAATCAGTTTTCCACAATTCAGTCCCTAAACTAAATGTGTCAAATGGTGTTTCTTTATTACAGTGTTGATATTCGTTAATTATATTCACAGAACGGGGATGAAATCTTGAATATAAATAATCAGACCATACCTCAGTACTATCTTCTAAGTTATATTTTTTCTGAGAGAATTGTTGCAGAGTTTTTGGGTTATCAATGTCTTGCTGGAACTCATTTTTATGTTGCTTTTGTTCTTTCCTGATATCAAGCTTATTCTCATCCCAATTTACACCAGAGTAGTGTGCTATATCTGGGAGAGATTCATAGAGTTCACCTTCTGTTGGTAATGATTTTAAGCTACATTTTAGATCTACTAATAACAATCGTGGAGTAAACGTTACGAGGCCCTAAATATGTAAATATAACTAAAATATAATTTTAACTTGTGATCGCTTTAGTTTACCTTTGAATTATGCCCTTCTCGAAAAAGAACATCATGATTAATTTCTGAAGGGGTATTTGAATTATACTGAAAAGAGGTCTCCTGAAGGTTCCACCAATGTGTACCAACAAAATTCGCATAATGTCCGAATTGCAGAGTTAAAATTTCTTGTGTATTCGTCATTGTTCCAATTTAAAGTTCATAATAAAAAGCAAAGTAAATGTAAACCATATGTAAACTAAAATCACCACAAAAATCACAGACTAAAATTACTTTGAAAATTACAAACCGTGTTATAAATAGAAATTAAAGGTTATAGTAGTATATTAGTTTAATGGCCACAGCTGCCAGGGCTATCCGGCCGGATGGTAGAATTAACTACCTACGGTTGAGCGTTTATATAGATGATGACAAACAGACGAGGATCGCTATAAAGCGAGCCTGGGAAATCCCATACCCCGACTGTTGAGTGGAAGAAAATGTTGGCAAAGGAAGATCCTGCAAAATAAACAAATTTAATAACAATTTCATTTAAAATGTCAAAGATTAATTCCACAACTATCTAAGAATTCGCCTATAATATTAACTACAATTGGATGAGCATGCAAAGCGGAGGTAAAATTATGAGGGGATGTTTTGTAAAAGCCAATAAGTGATTTATATAGTTTATCTACTAAAACGGGAAATTTATTGCATTCAAAAAGATGTGGTTTTAACGTCCAAATTTTCACACTCACATAAGGAATCTGCATTTACACCTATACGATGTAATTGGGACGGAATTAGACAATGTCCACTTCTTAATCTGAAGAAGTTGTCAAATCTTTTCCCTGGAAAAAGTCTAATGATGTAAACCATATGCTTTTGTAAGGAAAAGTAACAATTTCTGCATAAATTTTTCGCCTTTGGTTACAAGAAATCTCCTTCCATCTGCCTTTCCATAACGACCAAGAGCACTCCTAAGAATTGGTATAATAAAATCAGTAAACCAACATTTAATCTTAGCATCTCGACCATTTGTCTTTCCAATATTTGCTAATTGATCAGCTTTATCATTGCCTCAAGAATATTCTGGGTGACCTGGGTTAGCCATGCCAATGTGAAATCTTCGAAATTGTTTTTCTCTTAACTCAAATAGTTTACGTTTTGTAGCAAATGTAATTTGACTGTCCTTAAAATTTTGATAAGCTGCTAATGCTCGTAAAGAGCACTTGTCCACTCATCACTTAAAATTACAAGAACCTCCAATACTTTGCTTGGCAATACATTCAACGCCACATAATAGCAAAACATTTCTCCAACAAATATGGAAGCATATCCAGGAATCATATAGGTGGCTTCCAAATTTAAATCCGGGCAAAAAATATACAGCACTCCAACATTTTTATTTACTTTTTTTTTTTTTTTTGTATTTTTTGCTTTTGGTTTGAAATTTAAACTCAATAATTTTTTTTTTTATTTTATATTTAATAGAATATTTTTTTTTTTTTTTTTTTTTTTTTTTTTTTTTAAATATTCATTTTTACTATAAATAAAGAGGAAAGCTTGTATAATAATGATGCATATTAGAAGCAAACTATCAACATCTTGAACATGAGGAAAAATTTGATCATGCCTTCAATTAAGAGGAGGAACTATGAGAATATCTTGACCAAAAACCAAATGATTGATTATATGCCCCATAAGCTTCTGTAACAGACTGAATAATGGGATTATCTTGAATAGAGAATGCTTTAAAAGCAATGTGAGTGGGCCAAAAATTGTACGTCAAATATAAGGGGACAGTTCTGTCCGGGTATTCTGATAAAAGGTATTAGTTGACAGGAACGCAAAAAACCCTAAAACAAATTGCTAAGGGCTTGAAAATGAAACTTACTTACAGGTTTTTGCCTAATAAATTTTAGAACATTTAGCTAATAATATACTACCATAATCTAAATGTGACCGAATGATAGGACTTAAAATAAATTGAAACAGTAGTAATGGATTGTCACCCCCCCCCCCACCCAAGGTTTTACAAAAATATCTCATTAAATTAATACCTTTAGTAGCTTTGGAACACATAGCCTCAATTTGATGATTCCAAGAAAACCGATTATCAATAAGAAATACCCAAATATTTAACATATTCAACACATCTAATAACGGATGGATTTGAAATTTAATAATCATGGGTAAAAACCGATTATAAAATTTCTTAATGAAATTAAAATACAGGAAGATTTTTCAGGAGAAAACTCATTTCATTTAATCTTGCCCATTCCTCAAGAACTACCATATGTAAACATTTAATTTATAACTATCAAATCTATATCATAACCTTGAGCCAGGAGAGCAATATCATCAGCATATGAATAATTTAACATCATGCCAATAAAGTCACTAAACATTATAATATATGAATATTAAATAGAAATGTGGAGCTAAAGGAATCCTGTTGCAAACCCTATTAAGGAAAAACCTAGGACCAATCAATTGTTGTTTGGAAAAAAGTTACTCTAACAATTAAATTTTCCTGTGTATGGTAGCTCTTTAAGTGTATTACAAAATATTCTCTTCAATACCCAATTCAGCTAATTTACGAAATCAAATACAGAAATATTAACTTTATCATATGCATTTTTCATATCTTAAGAAAAACAATTACTTGAAAAATTTTATTATATGAGATCCAGAAATTTACGATGAACATAAAGATAAGAGTTGCTTCAAAAACTCCTTTGACCTTTCTAAACCCGAACTGAAGAGACCACTGAGAAATTTTGTGGGTTTTTTCCACATACCAATTCCAATTTACATTCACTATATTTCCATAATTTTCCCTATGCAAGATGTGAGAGTAATTGGCCTGTAACCGCTAATATATTTATAATTTTAGTAGGTTTAGGAACAGACAAATTAACTAAAGTCTCAGGAAAATGCTGACTATCTGGAGAAGAAACGTGTTCCTTTGGAAATAATATATTTGCTTCAAAAAAAGATATGTTATGCTTAGCCATCGCATCATTAATCATAATTTGCCTTTTAAATTCTTTGCATTCGTTGTTAGTGGGATAATGATTTTCTTTACAATTAATACATTTAATTTCTAGTTGATTTAAAGAACATCATCATCTTCATGAGTATCACTACACTTAATACATCTTTTCCTACTTCTACATTGCAGAATTCTATGTCCAAATCTGTAGCAATTATGACATATAACTACTGGAATTTTATAAGTATGAATTTCGCGTAAAACATAGTACAATTCTAAATCCAAAGGAACTTGATTACCTTTAAATGTAATAATAAAAGGAATTAGTCCCTTTTCCTTGTCATGGTATTATCTTCATTTCGAAATCTTTTATAAATTCTATTCTACGGGCATTTTAAAATTTTAGTTCTAGATTACCTTATACTAAAGTCCATAATTAATAATATCTTCTTCGTATATATCATCACCCATGTTCCACACTACACCTCTACAAGTGATCATCCTGGGAGGAATGGTCAATTAACCAATTTTAATTTAAAATTTCTTTGAAAATACAAAAATAAAAAAAAAAAAAAAGAATTATTAAAAATATATGCCATTCTTTCTCCCTTTACTTTCCAGTTTTTTAATTCCCTCAATTTTGTTTTTCAAATAAATATTTTCCAGTATTCATTGGATGGAGGGAACGTTCACCTTGGATAACTGCAAGGAAGGGAGGAAAAGCAGAAATATCATACTCTGAAATTTTATTTGTATATTTCCTAATATTAAAAAACATTGAAATTTGTTTTTTTTTTTTTTTTTTTAATATAAATTTTGTTTCTAATTCATAAAGTTCCTCTTCCAGGTGCTTAATGACATTTACGGGTATTTCTTGACATGTACCTTTTGAAAAGCTCAAAGTTAAATTGTAATTTTGGTTTGGTTTGGGGCGATAAAATATGGGCTAATTTTCGAACGAAATCATTAGGAGGACCCGTAGGCCCCCCTTCCCCATTTAGCATAGGATCAGGAACGATCAGGAAGGGTCAGCAGGATTTTCGGGTTAGGATTATATAAGCAAAAAACTAAAACTACTTAATAAAATGGAAAACACTCACCAAAAACAAGTACGAACTAAAAACAATGGGAAATTGGAACCTGAATTAAATTCTATCTCAGAAAAAGGATTTTTTACGCTCAACCGTCTTTCACGTCCGACCGGCGCCAACCCATTTGTTGCATTTATCCAGCCAGAGAGAACACTACTTAATAACTAAAGTGAGAGAGACCGATCCATTATTTCAATTTTTGAAGACTGTGCTAATGTAAAGTCCCTAGATATATAAAGTACCGCAATTACCGCCATATTGGCGCCAAAACTAGCGGCAAATTTAAAAAGGAGGCCAACATTTCGCTGTTTCGGCTTTTTAAGCAGCTGGTCGGTCCGGCGCCAATATGGCCGACCAACATTGACAGGCAAGCCGTAAAATAAAATATTTATTAATTGTAATAGAATTACGTTTATTATCTACAGTTTACCTTCATTTTAACGTAATATCAGGTAGGTGTTATTAATATTCAATTTCATATAAATTTAATTTTTTAGCCTATATATGTTAAGAGGTTATAAACGAATGGTTTCCGTACAAGTGTTTTTCATTTGTATTAGCATTTATTTTATGTTACCTTTAGCGCAAAGTACGCCAACAGAAGTAAGTTAATATGTAAGAAGAAATAAAAGAATAACATCAGAATTTTAGTACTTAATTCAGTCGAAACAATTGGAAAAACTTTGTTGATGAGAACAGGATACCTATACCATAAGTAAACTTTCCTTATTATACCAGTTATGCTGTAGTTAGTTTTGACAAATAAGCATGATTTAACGAAAGTCTTTGGAACTATGAATAAGCTACAAACTTAAATTTGAAGGCCGGCTTTATATGGAAAATTTGACATAAAACATTCAATTTTAAAATAAATGTAATAATTAAATTGATATGATACATACCTGCTATTTTTGAAATATATTAATATAATGATAGAAAGATTGTTTCAATTAGTATTACTTCAGGTAGTTTCGGCATTTTAGGTATGTAATTGTGCACTTAATTTAAAAATAACTTAGAAAGAAGCTTGAAACGCATAGGAGCTTTTTATGTATGCTGTATAATTAAGGTTTGTATGTTATGGAGGGATTTTTATACAACAAATTTATTATTAGTTGAATAAAAGCAAATTAATACCACATAATACAATTAAAAGTATTTTACTCTGCAATTTAATGTATATTTTTAAACAACAAGTGTCATAATGTTTAAGTATCATTATAATAAAAAAGTTATACTGCTATAAATTTAACATTGAAATAACTGTAATTATTGTTATACATAAATAGGCATAATTTTACCTCGACAATATGTAAAACTTCAAATGAATCTTAACAATTTTATGTCATGTCTAAAAATCAAATTTAAATCACACACTTTTATTTATAACTGACAGTATAAAACCAAATTTTTAAATATAACTTTACATGCTTACATTATATTGTTTACTTTTTATTAGTAATTAAAATATGAACCAAAAAAATATTAATTACTATCAATAAATACATAAAAAACTAATCTATTTAAGTCCATGAAAATAACTATATAGTTAGCCTATGCATAAACAACATTCTTGTTATTAGGATCAAATTTATTTTTGAGCTTTTTTTTCATTGTTTTGATTAATATCCCTGTTAGTCCTGACTGGTAAAACCACCTGAAGTGATGTCATCCAAATCTATATAATATGTATCATAACACATAACTTATCTTTTAAATAATTATCCTTTGTTTGGTCTGATGATAATATATTGTAGATTTATCTTAAAATTCCTTGCTGCAAAATGTTGAAAACTAAACTACACTAAACATTTTAGGGAATGATTACGTAGAGATTTCATTTACACTTAGCATCCTTTTTAAAAGATATGTATGGTAGTTTGCAAGTAAGGTCTTTGTCTTGTTCTAGATTAGATTTCTAGAGTTTGATATCGGCCTGACCCACTGCGACCTTCTCTCTCAGATCTATTGTGGTCTTGTCTTGTTCTATAATGAAGTTTTATGTACCAGTAGGTTATACTACAAATAAGATTGTTAAAATATTCATCGGAAAGATAACAAATTCAATCCACTACCTAACGTATATTGAATATCGACGATGTTAGAAAACACATCAAATGGCGGCCTTCTCGTGTAATACACATTTCTTCACTAAAGATATCGACGCCTATACATTATTAACTAATAAATTTGTAGCATTTTAGTGGCTTTATAATTATTTTAAAATATGTGGATAAATATTTTTATCCTGAAATTGACAGCTTCTCAACATTTGACATGACAAATTCAGCCAAATGTGACATTTAAACAGTCCTACCACTACAGTTTTTCCAGAAATACCCCAAAAATCCGCCATTTTGGCGCCAATAACATTGAACAAACCAATTGCGGTACTTTATATATCTAGGGACCATAAAGTAACTAAAATAAAAGAGTGTTTGAAAGGTTGTCTAACTTGGCCATAATGTTGCATAGTTCAGTTAGGGCTCCAAAGCGTCGCCACCTGCTACCTGTCACGTGTCATTACAAGAATGACAAGTGACATGACAGCAAATTATTTGTATTTTGCAATTGTTTACAATTTTGTTTTGAATTTTGGAATTTTGTTATTATTTTGTGTAGCATAAACTTTGTTTGTTTGTTTTGTGTTTGTGCGTACAGAAATTATGGACGAAGTTTTATTTCCTGAGGAACCAGAGACCTTATATTTCTCTATGATTTGAACTTTATGTTTTGTGCTGTGTTTTGCCATCATCATGTAATATTTTGTTCAGCCGATGATGTGATTTGAACACGATCCAGGAAAGGGTATCATGCAAAGCAAGTTCGATATGTAAAGACATTGCCCATCTCTGAACTCTGTGAACGTAAAACGAACTGACTATAAATTTGCGCCTTCATTTAACAGTGTTGAACATTTGCTACCTCAACTGGAACTTCAACTGCTGACTGCTGAGTTTATAAATTCAACTTAAAGGTGAATTAATTTTGATGATGTCTTATTTAAATCTTTATCTGTTATAACAGCATAGATTGCAAACCCTGCGATCTTATATATGCTTTGTTAGTGGCGTTGTTAAATACGGTTTATAATACTATAGGTAAATCGAAGGGTAAACCGCTGGTGTATTTTGGTGGTGTACAAGATTTGCATTATCGGTATTAGTACTAAATTATTTGGCATTTCTTTGGCATTAGTGTACAGAAATTCATCAGAGATTACCCCCTCGAAGTTAATTCAGCATATATGTTTTATATTATCAAATTTAATTTAGCATTTAACTGTAAGCATTTGAAAAGTGTACAATAGTTTATACTTTCTTTCAAATATTCGCTTTTTAAAAATAAACTTTCATTATATTTTTGCAGTTTTAATTTTGTAATATTTTTAAAATACATAAAATTTTATATTCACATTTAAACAGCCCGCCTTTTTTGTGGTAGGCAATGCAGATACCTATTTTACCGATAACGTCTGTCATATTTCGATTAGTTCAGTTAGGGCTCAAGGGTGCGCTACAATCGATCCTCGTTAAACGTGTTGCCTACTTTTGACTATGGAAATGACAACTCTTTTATTTTATATTTCTCTATGCTAGGGACTTTATGCTAATGGTGCTAATGGCGCGGCCTTTGGCGTCTAACCCGAACTATGAGCGCATTATCGATATAGTAGGTTGCATTCATACCTATATACCGGCGCCAAAAATTTAAAATTTGTATATTTGAACCGAATCTTAATCTTTCAAGTTTATAATAAGAAATCTTCGTAGTTTTTTTAGATTATTTTGTTGACAACGAAAATTTATTATTAGACTTTAAAGCATTAAAACCTATAAATAAAATACTGTGTAGGAACATAATACTTATTTAACTTCATACTCCTTGCCATACTCAACTCAAGGCTGCAATCTTCAGTATCTTTTTATCTAACTTGGTTGGGAGTGAACAAGGAAGCACGGTTGGGAGCTCGCACAGAATATCAGTAGGTATCCCGTAGGTGTTCAATGTTTTTGATAAGGCCTTTATTCTATAACAACAAGAACCTAGCAGTTGAAGAAAATAATTTGTATTACTGGAAATAATACTAGGTATAATACCTAGTCGTTCCATAGGTATCTGAAAAGAATGTGATGTTTTAAATTAAAAAAAAATAAATTAGCAATGTACGATTATTATGTGCACTCACTATTACTATTAGGTATGTTAAAATAATTACCGAGATAAAACTTACCTGTAAAGGAAACGTTTTGTCTGGGTCTCAACCACAAAACAAAAATTACAAAAATGCCGAATAATCGTGGAATCTGAAATACAAACTGAAATAATCAATAATGACAATAATCTTCTCTTCTGACAAGCTAAAAGAACAGGCACATTCAGCAAAAACAATTTATTACTCCGATTTGCTCCGATTATCAACAGATTTTAGTTATCTCCTTCTAGAACTAAGAAATAGAAAAAGCTACTGACAATTAGTGTTGGGAAAATTCGAATTAAATAATACGACTAATTCGATAGTAAATTAAAACTAACTAATTCGAATTATCTTTTTCGATATAATCGAGATAAAAACAGAGATATGGAAGTGGGAGAATGAGCTTCGACGAGTGCGCATCCAAATTTTTGTCGACGGTAAGAGGTTTGTTCTCACAGCTGTAAGAAACATATTTCCAACAGATAATCATGCGCAATAGGGTAAGACGCGTTCGCACAGAAATTTTTGATTGGTTTCCAACCAACAGTAAGCTGTTCACACAGAAAATTCTGATTGTTGGCTGACAGTCAGACCAGAGGTTTGTTCTCACAGCTGTAAGAAACATATTTCCAACAGATAATCATGCGCAATAGGGTAAGACGCGTTCGCACAGAAATTTTTGATTGGTTTCCAACCAACAGTAAGCTGTTCACACAGAAAATTCTGATTGTTGGCTGACAGTCAGACCAGAGGTTTGTTCTCACAGCTGTAAGAAACATATTTCCAACAGATAATCATGCGCAATAGGGTAAGACGCGTTCGCACAGAAATTTTTGATTGGTTTCCAACCAACAGTAAGCTGTTCACACAGAAAATTCTGATTGTTGGCTGACAGTCAGACCAGTTCGCGGATCTTTTGCAAGTAAAGTGTCCGGCGCATGCGTGTTGCAACTCGACGTCATTGCTTCATTGCTTGGTAAACTTAACCTACAAAACGTGTTGTTTTT